TCTTGTTGGAAAGGATTTGTGTTTTACCTGGAAATTTAGGATAAATGCTGTATATTAAACTTTCTATATTTAAGAGACACAAACAGATGTGTAATGCACATATGGATGTCCTATTTAGCAGTTAATACATGACACTGCATGACACTGTGTGTTTCAGATGAAGAATGAGACCTTATCAATATAAACTGGAAGTCATTTTCCCTGATTGTGTGAAAATTCGACTCCTTTGACTCGCAGTGTTTTCATCTGACAGGAACAGTATATCAGTGGCATTCACATTTCAGTTTCTGCTCCGTATGCTATAATTAAAGCTAGTCTCTGTTCCATCCTAACTCATGAGTCAGGAGGTTAATTGAACTTTAGCACTAAATCAAAAACACAAAGACTTCCTGAAAACATTCTTGAACTCCTGAACTGACACTGATATGAACCTGATGAACGCCAGAGTGTCTCCCTGAAACCTTTTGATGCCGCCCTCATCTTAAGTGACTCACACTCTGCTGCCTCACTGTTTGCTTCCAGTGACACGTGTTTGTCTTCCTCGTTCGGCTAATGACAGTTCGGTCCTGTCAAAGTACAGGTGAACCCTCGCTGTGTTTTATAGCGAGTCATTGTCAAGTGGGGCGGCTCCAACCTTCCTCTCTCCTCCTAATGGGCGTTGGTGTGTTGTTTTTGCAGCAGATTTATGCGTGGGTGGGGCGCTGTGATTTACGGAGCTCTGACACTGTCTCAGCAGCGGGACCAGAGAGGCTGATTGTGGCTCTCTGTGTGTGTTCCAGGTGAGCCTGAGGTCTGCTCACCATCCCTCCACACACACACACACACACACACACACAGATACATACATGCATGCAGTGTGAGCAACATGCCTAGAAACTCTTGTGTGCACGAATGAGGACACACAGATACTTTGATACATACTCAGGTTTTGTGGTGTAATACCACAGGCAAGCTGCTACTGTTACAACTTGTAGGTTCACCTAAAGTACAGAGGAGGGCATGTTTTGCTGGTTCAGTGGGTAGGATTTAGGGGCGTCTATCTGCCGAAATGGTGTATAATATTCATTGCTCGTTTATAATCACCTTTAAATAAGAATCACTGTGTTTCTTTACCTTAAGATGAGCCAGGTATATCTACATATGGAACAGGTTTTCTTCCACAGAGTCCACCATGTTGTTTTAAAGTAGCCCAGAACAGACAAATCAAACACTGGCTCTAGGTTGGGCCATTTGCTTTTTTGTGTGTTTTAACATCAGCCACCGTACATGCTTAGCACACAGGAGAAGTTTCAGTTCTGCAGCCTCACTGCTAGATGCCACTAAATCCTACACACTGGACCTTTAAGTTTAAAAATCACCTCAGTGACGCAGCTATGCAACACTTCTTCTCTTTGTTTCAACCACAACAATAGCTTAAAAATATAAAAGATGATGGTCAAAATATGTCAGCACAAAACATAAAGGGAAAAGCTGTTGTGAAAGAAAAAAATCAATATTTGTTTTTTAATGCACCCCCCTAAAATACCTCCAATCCCCCACTGGCCCCGGTGCTTTTAAAAGTTTAAAGGATAATATGTGGATATTTACTCATTGTGTCAGATTCCCATAAAAGCAGCATTCATTGCCCTGGATCGATAGTACACAAGTAGCCCGCCACTGCACATAGATGTTGACGCTGCCCTTTCATTATCAGTGTAACCCAAGAGTAGAGAAGATTAAATTCTTGTCACCAGATGTTAAATTGGTCATTACCCATCGGAGATAAATTTGTCCTTAAATTTCCCATTAAAAACACCTGACAAGAGGGGGAGACAACACAGTGCAAACACAGTGCACAATGTAATGATGCTGACATGGGAGCTAAAGCTCTATTTGGCTGTGTTATATGGGATTAAGACGAATAAAGAGATCTTTGTTGTTTCATTTCAGTACATCCTGTTGTTCTAGATTTCTCTCTTCCCTTTCATAGGTGGTGGACCAGTGCGCGTTAACATGCTTAAGACATATTTATTTCTCATATCCATCTCATAATGTGTGATTTCATTTTACAATATCTATCGAGACCCTCGGCCCAGTCATTGTTGTGTCTCCACTCAAGTGTGACACTTTCTCTCACCTTCCCCTATTCTTTTTTCTCTTGCAGAAAAAGAAAGCTCCCAGTTCAGTCTCTGCATTAAGTCAGTCTGTCAGAATGCTTCCCCGGAGAGTTTGGATTTGAAGTTCGTCCCAGCAGTTCCTCTGCTGGTGGCCCCCACTGGAGGAGCAAGGTCACAGTGGACCCGAGTGTCGAAACTTTCACAGAGCCTCCACAGAAATCACACACACTTATTTTTACACAGTGTTTGTCGGTAATGCTAATTCAATAGTCTAAGGGCGGTCCTTCGAATGCAACAGGAGGGTTCGGAAGGGGGTTGCAGACAAATTGTCAGGACGATAATAAACCTATTTAAACATATTTACATACTTATCTTTATCTTTATCTTTTTATATGTGTTTCTTTGAATGAAAATGCACAAAACCTTTGTTCTTGTACACAACAGTGTTGGACTAACCCTTCTGATGGTGGCACTGATTTCCCATTTCTAAGGTTCAAATATGAACATGTTCATTTGCAATCTATCATATGGGCACACGGGTGGTTCATGTGATTTTTATGTGCTGCTACCTTGAAAATTCACAAAATGAATTGCTGAAAAGCAAAAACAACAAAAATAATAACAGTATTAATCTATTTGAAATTAAATGAAAAGATTAACTCTCACAGTTTCACTGTTAGTCAAACAAAAATATAACAGGCCAAATCTGTACTTCAAGATATAATGTGCAAATATGTGTGTGAATGTATTGCAGGGTGTCATTTTGGCACATCAGGTTTGATGAAGATTTTATTTCTCCTTTCTCCTTTATTTATTCTTTTTCTTTCCCCCCTTTTGCTGCCTCCTTTGTTCAGCCCTGGCTCCTTCCTCACTATAACGTATATCTGAAAAAATAAATGTTGTCAGTAAATGTCAGTAACGGGCCAGCTCACATTTGTGACCTGCCAATGGCAACAAAGGTTGTGAGATTCAGTTATGGGTTGTTCAAATAAATTATGAAAGTATGTATCTATGTATGATGGCTTACTTAGCCTATATAAGATGCACATCAGAATTACAACATCTTGTTTAAGACTGAAAGATTTCATTTTATTCCCTTTCTGTCCTTTTAACCGAACTGGAGCCCATAATTTCACCAGTGGTTCTTCAAAATCTGTAAGATGGAGATTTACCCAGAATGTCGCAGATTTTACAGGCAGAAGGAAAAAAATAACTTGTAAAATATATAGTATTTGTTTTTTTTTATGTTTATGACTTTGTTTGAAGATATGTTAGAATTAATAAGCAGCAGATCTTACAGCTCAATTGTTAAACTGAATTGTGATAACTGACTTTGCAGTTATCACAATTCATCATCATTGTTAGTGAACAATGGTTAAAAGGGTTTAACTGTCAGTTTGGTAATTAGATCTATAAAGACTGGCTTTAAATACATTTACAATCTATAGAGTTAAACTGAGAAGTGCTTCTAATGTCTACTCTCACTGATAAAAATGAGGTGGACAAATTATTAGAAACACCTCTCAGTATAATGCAGCAGCCGAAATGTTGAATGAACATCTTTTTAAAATCTAAGCATTATAATCTTTATAACGGTAGGTATTTATTGCAGGATAGCTGTATTACACTGCATTGCTTTTAGCTAGGTGTACCTAATAAAATGGCACCTGAGTGTAAATGCCCACATCTTTTTTTGCCGCTGAGGTGCACTGACATCAACACATTTTAAAGACTGTATTTCCTCTTTACCAAAAGGTGTTAGAGTCAGGGCCAGGCCAGAAAAATGTTTCCTATAATGGTCAAAATAGATCCTTTAAATAAAATGATAATGTGAAATTGTTTTGCTGATATCAGGCTCTAAATACAATTCGGGCTGGTTGGTTTAAAGCCTAGAAAACGCACAGATATATGGCCATGTAATTCTGTTAAATTGCCATAAATTATGAGAAACATTATCTTAAATATTCCTCTTTTTGGACAGAAAAGAAACTGTGAAAATCAGCATGCTTAAATGCGCCAATATTCGTTGAGTTTTATTTATTTATCCCCACACACACTAACAAAAAAAACCCTGGTCTACACGGATTAAAGAACATGATCCATGTGTCTGTCAGTCAGTGACCGTTTAGTGACTCGTGGTCGTGGGCGGTGCTGCAGTCCTCCCGAGCACGCCGGATGATCTAATTACGTCCAACCCTCCACCAATTAGAGAATTACATCACACCTTTAAATGGACTCGTCCTCTTAATCATTAATGATATGGTGTCATTCCCTCTGACAGCGTCTAGTTGCAGCGAGGCAACTTGACACATGCAGTCCGAGTTAATACTAAATAATGTGGAGGGGAAACTACACTGTGGCAGTGGTTTGGTAAAAAAAAAAAAAAAAAAATGTGAGAAATAAAGAACAAATAAAAAAATATAGGGTCTCTGTGCAAGTCAGTGAGGCCCAAACATGACCCGTTACACTGTGTTATTAGACTGTTATTGAAAAGAGTGATCCAGTGATTGGCTCAGTGTGTGTGTGTGTGTGTGTGTGTCCATGTTTATTTTGGTTCTTGTTTAACGCACTGAGGGGAAACGCCCATTGATAGACTTCATAGCAGATCATGTGGCCCGCAGGTACTCAGGCGTCATTTTATGGGTGTCAGAGGACGTGATCTCTGGTCTGCATGAGCAACACACACTAACACACACTAACACAGACTAATGCGAGGGGCTGAGGCGGAAAAACATAAAATGGAGACTAAACTTCATTTGGCCTGCATTTTTTTAGTTTTGGTGTTTTGGTGAAAGTGATTGTGCATTTAAATTAATTCACCTTTTTTTCTTATTTGCATTTTTTTTTTTTTTTTTTTACATAATTCTGAATTTAGAAATCATTTTAAGAACATTTCCTGGCTGATTCTTCTTAGTTTTTTATTTCCTTATATTCATATTGATGTTGCAGCTCTCTAAATGAAAGCTTATTTTATTTAATACGTTCACAAATCTTTTTGCAGCTTTGTTTTGTTGCCTGCAACTGAAGGGTTAAAAATGACATTGGGATCATTTTTTTTAAGTAATACTAAATATCGTTTCAGTTCACACGCATATTATTTTAATGTTATTTATCTTGAGCCTTTGGGGGATGAGTTATATACAGTATCCAGGCTGGAAATTAGATGTTTTGGAAACATATATGGCCCCACAATGATTTTGTGCTGCAGGACATTTAATAGGCCTGCATTCTTGTCTGTAAGCGCCATTGTTATTCTTCTCTTATCTCTGTTATCTTAATCTGCTCGCATTGTTTGCTTATCTTATTTGAAATAGCTCAATTACAAATCTATTATCAGCCCGTTGTCATTCAAACTTCGGATTAAGACGCTGTCCGTGTACTAGACACAAAAAAAATATGATAAAATAACTTTTTTTGTATCATTTTTTCACAGCCAAAAACGATCTAATATGAAAACAAGGTCAGTAATAATTTGGTGAATTATTAACGTCAGTTTTGTTCAAGTAAGGATTGAAATCAGAGCTTGGGATTATTTAATTTGTTTTAAGAATTGTTTTGAGACTTAAACATATTTTAAAAATTATTTTCTTGCAATTAAAAACGCGTTTTCCTTTTCCTTTTTCTCTAAAACTGAATCAAAGACGTTATTAAATTATCCCACTCCTGACATGATAAGCAACATTTAGAGAGCATGCTCCTGTGCTCACTCAAGAAAATAAATAAATGACCTATATGTATCTGGAAAAACAAGTGTCTCAGCAGACTCTCAGTGCATACATGGCAGCTTTGTTTTGTCCTGCACACAGTGTAAAGGAGGTCAGTTCATTTAGCCTGAGCTGTCATCTCGGCTGACCCGTGCGCAATAACGCAATTCACTCAAGGAAAATAAACCGAGGAGGAGAAGTGACCCTTTACGAGCTGCTCTCTGCTCCCCTCACATACGAGGGGCTTTGGGGGAGAGTGTGTATGTATAGAGGGGGGGGGGTGTTTAGTTAGTTTGTTGTGGCTTCAGTCAGTGTATCGCTTGCAGGTGATGCCAGGACTAGATAAGAGGTCGCCGATCCCTCCGCGCTGTCTAGACCAGCTTGTGACTCAACCAGAGGAACTGGACTGAGCACAATTTACAGCAGGTTTTTGCCCCCGAGATAGTAAATGACCACTGGCCGAGTCCTGCTACATAACCGAGGGGGAGAGCACCGCAGATGGAGGGGGGGGGTGATAAGACAACCGAGCCTCCAGGCTTCAATTCAGGCAGGCCAACTTGATACAGTTTGAACAGGACAAACAACATATCCAGCGCAACTGCATGAATATTTGTTTTAGTTTTTAAACGCTTTGAATCTGCTCCTCAAATCGGCCACTGTCCTGCAGAAGCTTTATTGTTGCACGTGTCCCAAATCAGAAATGACCCGCTGTCTTGAGGAGTAACGATCTGTTGCAGCGTCGGATCTGGACAGTGAATTTGACTTTGTCGCCATCAGAGCGGTGGAAAACAAAATGTAATTATAGCTCTGTGGAATCAGTTCGTTTCTCGTCTTAGTTTTGCAATAAAATATGGACAGTTGTTGTTAATGGCAGAGCTGCATTTTTAAATAAATTACGATATTGGCTTGCAAATGCAAAAAAAAGTGAGAGTAGGTAAAAAAAAGAAAAAAGAAAAATGCGCCTGCACAAACATTGGTCATCCAGACACGTAATATATGTATTCAGCTTTTTTATTTTTTTTTATCAGTTATTAATCCCTTTACGAATCGCTTTCCTAACAATAAATAATATAACAATAATTTACTTTGTGTTCGAGAAGCTCAAACAACCTGCCCTTAAGATAAAGTATTTTACAACACGAATAATTTGCAGATTATCATGCTCTGACCTTAAGACAAAGAGTCAACGGGACTCGACAACGCAATAAATGTATCAAAAAAATTCTCATGTTGAAGAAACAAGACACAATATGATCACAATGAAACCGCAGAATGTCCATCTGCTTCGACATGGAAATGTTTCCAATTTTCAGAGGGAAGGTTTGCTGTATATATCCATCAGGAGGTCTTCTGTACATCTGCTTTCTCCGTATCATGCAACAATTGTTCTGCTTTAGTTTTTTTGTCAATGAAAGCTCCACAAAAAAAATAACTCGGAGTCATCGGTGCTTTCTTGGTTCCATCTCCTCCATGTCACAAAGAAAAACAAAAATCTCCTCTCTGTAGTTTGGGCGATGTGATGAGCTGGTCACATGCAAGGGGACCGGGATCATGCTGCAACTGTCCTTGCAGGAGAGGGGGACCGACAGGTCTGAGGGGCCCCGTTTCACGTCTCCACCGGGCTGGGTACCATACTGTTGGGGGTGTCCGGTAACTGAGAGGACAAAGAAGTCACGTCGCTGCCCGAGGAGTTCCCGAGAGAGCCCGATTCAGAGAAAGACACCTAAAGAGACAGAAATGCGTCAGAAAATGCGACATATTCAGGCTTTTATTTTGAAAGGTATTCCTTCAAAACACAGCGTCCCTGTCTTTGCTGATGTGAAGACACAATGTTGGCATGCATGTGTGCATCTATGTAACTACATCCTAATACTGTTTGTGCACATGTGAGCACCAAATTTCTTTGCGAGCGTGCATGCAAAATGGCTGATAAATAGACTGATAGGACTAAGTCATGGGTCTGCAGTGCATGCATGTCTCTGTGTGCACATGTAGCTCAGTCTGTGCTGAATACACACACACACACACACACACACACCAGTTGTTGGAAGGCTGGCTGGTCCAGGTCGCTCTGCAGGGCGAACTCACTCAGGGCTTTCCATGGAGGCTGGTAGGTCTGAACCTCCACTGGGTTCCCCTGCACGGCGCTCTCATGACGGATAGGACTCCCGGCCACAAGAGGTGTCCCTGTGAGACCCTGCAGGTTCTGACAAAATCATTTTTTTAAAAAAAAAAAAGCACAGCATTAGCATTGTGTGTGTCATGCAAGAAAGCATATGTCACCTTTGAAAGCACTGAAAACTCCCTAGTCCTCATGACACATACACGTTTTCCAAATTTCCTTTACCTCCAAGTTTCCTCAAAGATTTATCTATGGTCTCAGATGGAGACATGTTTCCCATGATGCAGACATAGCCTGGTTGCAGAGGATGTTTTAATCTTTCAGGTTAAGCAACTGAAGCCAAAGCAGTTGATCCATTATTTATTGACCTTAAGTTTGAATACAGAAAAGCACTGGAGCCAACAGGAGCGGCTGTGTTGTGGCTTAATATAAGTTAAGTATTAAAAAATAAAGATTATAAATGAGTAAAATTACAGTGATTAACATTATAGGGAAAAGAGGAGTAATCACAGGGCAAACAGCTACCAATTTAAAAAACCTTTTTTTTTTTTAGAAAACAATTAAGCCAGAAAGTTATTTAGTTCATATGAGTTGCATCTTTTCACTCTGCATCTTAATAGAATTTAAAAACAGAAATATGACAGGGTGAATTGAGTCAACATGTACCTTGGTCATGGTTTTAAATAAACAAAGGCGAAAAGAAGAAAAATCGTAGAGATCAAGTGGCCAAACTTACGAAGATGCTTACAGTCTTATCACTGTGGTGCTGCTGCTGGAGCTGCTTCATCAGGATGGACTTCTTCTTGTCTTTGCAGCGCTTGTTCTGGAACCAGACCCGGATCACCCTGGGGCTCAGGCCGGTCATCTCCACCAGCTGCTCCTTCATCAGCGCGTCCGGCCTCGGGTTGGCGTTGTAGCAGGTCCGCAACGTGTGCAGCTGCTTCTCGTTCAGCACCGTCCGGACCCGGGTCGTCTTCTCAGACTGCTTGTGGACGTGGTTCCGATGCGGGGCCTGCCGCACCGTGACCGGGTCTGCAGAGGACGGAGGAGGAGGGGGGGAAAGCGTCTGTCAGAAAGTGTAGAAAGGCCTCAGAAAGCCTTTTGGATTTTGAAACAAGTCAGCAGCCCATTAATCTCAATCTGCACTGTCTTGCCTTTGATGCCTCTTGGATATTTTGTGTTATGCAATAATAGCAATTTATCAGCCTGACATTTTTTTTTAGAAATGTCTGCAAGAGGGGGAAAAACATAACTGTCTTTAGAAAGTTCCTATGACAACAAAAAAAGCTTTGTATATTTACATCTAACGTGAAAATAAGAACGAATACTGGTGCGTAATTTACTGAGGTGAAAGACAGTCATTTCAGAATTTCAGCTACTTTTATAACTTATGTTTACTTTTTTGTTATTATATATAGGCTAATCCTTAACTGTATAGACTTTTCTTTTTTCCCAGCAATCTGTATTTTCAGCTCAGTTGGTCTGAAAGGTTGAGAAACGCAGTGGGAATGTGACCTCCCTCCTGCAGCTGTCACCGCTGCAGGCCTGTGTGACACCGCGCTGAGGTGTGTGAGGTATTTTGAATCGAGCGCTTTAAAGCAGGAAGTTGGTGAACATTATTCACACATTTGCTTTGTTCTCCTTCTGATGGAAGGAGCCCTCAGGATGACAGCTCTGCCCACACACACACACACACACACACACACACACACACACACACACACACCGTCGAGACTCAAATACCAGATTATTCAGATAATGGTAACAGAGCAGGTTAACGCTAATGAGATCAATTATGAAATTAGCCCAAAGAAAGGTCGCAGCACACACTTTGCACACACACACACCGAGCCCGTCACACACAAACAAATTATCTGGATGTTAAAGAAGGATAGAAAAAATACTAATGCATGACTTTTCCTTTCATTTTTCTAAACTAAAGCAGTTTTTTCCAACAAAAAATGTACTTTATATGAGTTAAATTTACTATAAAATATGAGAATTGTTTGCATAAATTTCTTTATCGACAGGCCTTTTATTTAGAAATAAATTGCCGACGATTCCTGTGTCCTAAATAAATAAATACAGGTAGTAGTAATAGTAATAGTAATAATAATAATAATAATATTCCGACCTGCCAGGTGCAGCGGTCTGTTGGAGTGGATGTGTCCGGGGCTGATGGGGCTTCCTGCGGAGTTCCTCTCCAGCAGTAGGCTGTGGTCCGCCCGGCACAGCAGCTCGTCTTCCCGCAGGGAGAACTCGTCCCCCGGCAGCAGCTGCCTGCTGCACACCGAGCACCGGAAACACTCGATGTGGTACACGTTATCCCGAGCTCTCATCACCAAGTCGCTGCTGCTGAATCCCAGGTTGCATTTTGCGCATTTTATTCCAAACAGCCTGGGAAATGTAGGGGGGGAAGGAAAGTCAAAGAATTAAAAATCTTGGGGGAAATGTGAGAAATCACAACGAGGAAAACTGTCGGCTGATCTAAATGCTGTTATGCTATAATATCTTTTTAATTTTAATAGATGTCATAATACGGTTGAGTGTATTTTCTTATACTTTGTGCAGTAAATATGTGTTACAAAGGTCTTCTGTTTTTTGCGCATTTTTTTAAGCCCAAACTCCTACTTTTTAAATTAGGTTTGCCCTCTTCTGAAATAAATTCTTATTCTATTTAAATACATTAAACTTTACACTCAGCGTTATTTAATATAATACAAGCTAAACAGGATATATTTCCAAACTCCTACCTTACATAATCTCTTTTGCAATATGTTTTGCCGTCCCGGACGAAACAAGTGCAGGTCTCATCCAGGTACTGGCTGCACTCTGCACACTTCAGGCAGGCTGCATGCCACTCCAGGTCGGGAGAGACTCTCAGTATGTACTGGTCATGGATCTGACTTCCACATCCTACACACATCGCGAATCCTGGCTTCTCTGCAAAGAGCCCGCAGCATTGTAACCACACACTAATAACGCATCCAAATAGACACAGTATCACAACAAAAACCCTGCAGCATTTACACTGTGTATTTTACATGTTAAAGTCCAGCTGGTGTGTCTCATCTTTGCAGTGCATTCCTTTATTTTGCAGACTGGACAAGTCATGATGTTATGTAACAGATGAAGAAGCAAAACACTGAATTGTTCCATTTCTAAAAACAATCACAGCCAAAGAAATGCTACCACACGGAAATGCATCATTAAGAAATTAACTTTACCAATCGCTGCACAGCTGAATATATCATGTAGCCCATAATACCACCGCGACGAAAAACCAAATCTGCCACTTTAAACTCCAGCGAGCAGTTTCGCTTACTTACTTTTGGAATGATCCCCCATATCACCCAAGAAAGAAGAGCTGAAAATAATATCCACCATACAGGACGGATAAAGGGGCTTGTGGTAGATGCAGAAAAGATGTGAGGAGATGACTGGCCCTTCGGCTGCCTCCCTGATAACGTGTGTCTCTCTGGACTGGGAGGGTGCGAGGGTGGGGGTGGGTGGTGGGTTGAGGGCGAGGAGGCTGCGGGGTCCCACACGCTGCTGCTCTGACGTCATGACGCCGACACCGGACTCTCCAATCGCCTTTCTGCATCTCTGTCCCAACCTGTGATAAATAAATAAATAAAGCCAGTGTGTGTTTATGTGTCAAAAGCTTAAGAATGCAGATGTTCAGATTTTGTTTAATCAAATAAAAAATAAAAAATCAGAAATGTTCATGTTTTAACGACAAAATGGAGCCATTTCCATCCGGTTTTTAAGATGTACATGAATTTCATGATGGTGATAATCATCATCATCACCATCATCATCATCATCGATGTACTAAAAAAAATGTGGCAAAGCCTCTGTAAAACTATTTACCACAAAAAAATCCAGATTTGTTTAGTTAATCTAGCCTAAAAGTTGTATTTCTTGGTCACACAATGAGGCAATAACTGATTATTATCAGGGTATTATTTGGTCCATACACAGGATCACATGATTACATGCGTAAACTGTATGTTAAACTGTCCTGCACATATTCACACAGATAAGAAAGAACTTTCTGTCTTGCTCCCCTGAAGCAGGATTTTAATTTCGCATCTATTAATGTTTTGATTTAAGCTGATCTGTATATCTTGGTCAAACATCAAACCTATTTCCATTTCATGATGGGAAAATGATAATATTTGAGACCCCAAGAGTTGCATTGTTGGTCTTTAACTTGGAGGCACATTTTTTTTTTGTTGTTTCTTAATTTAAAAAGGGAGCCCACAATGATTCATCCTTGCAGTAATTTCATTATTTATTTTTTTATTTGTTGGTCATAAGTTCAGCAGGATATGAGGACATCTGAAAAGCCTCCTCTCCTTTCTGGTTGCCCATCTACTCGAGAACAAGGCCATCTATTGGTGGAAAAGCAGAACTACATTTGCCAGAGAAGGGGAGATGAGAAATGCTGAGCACACAGGAGACTGGACTTTAACTCAATCTTGAATCTATAATCTTCTATCCATAGACTAGGCCTATATGAAAACTAAATATCTTAACTAAACTTCCATATTGCAATTATATAAAATTGAAGTCTTCATGGGAATAATATAAAAAGCCATTGTTCAGAAAAATAAATGTATGAGTATCAAATTTGGGTCCAACAATTAGATTTACAAACTTTGTATTGTTTAGATAACCTACATCCAATTGTCAATTTCCATTGACAGGTCGGTGTGTTTGCAGAGGAGCGAACAATACAGACAGTTGCATAATGCCAATGTTTGCTGTGTCTGTTCAAACATGTTTTTCCTCCTGTATGTTTTCAGTAGAGTTTGTTAGACCAAATAAATAAAGCGTCCTCCACTCTTCTCTGTCAATCATTGCTGCAGGAGCAGTTTGAAGGAGCTGCTGCAGTGGTCACTTGTGATGTTGGGCAGCATCTCAAGCAAGGACAGAGGTTCTTATAGAAACATCAGGGATTTTTTGTTTTGCTTTTTAGCCTGTTTGCTTTTTGGTTTACTGCTGATGTCTGGTGTCTGTTTATTCAAGATATAGAGCAGATTTTTTTTCTGCATCTCTCTCCTCCCTTTTCCCTCCTCTTGCAGCCTCAGGTGAAACCAACACACTCAGACAGAGGGACCGCAAAAGCAACTCATTCCGTAATGAGTCTTATTTTGAAAGCCACAAACCAGATGTGCTCCTCCTGTTTAAAACAGTGTCTTGATTGGTTCGGGGCTGGCAACTTTAGTTTGCTCACGAGCTGAGCTGACAGCATCGGTGTATAAGAGGAGGAGTTTGGGGGAAAATGGTGAGTAGAAATATATGAATGCATTCAGTCAGTTGTGTGTGTTAATGTGGTTATATTGCTTTAATAGTAAGGTGATGTTAACTACCAGCTTGGCTGTGGGTTTGTGGGGTCAAATCAGGGTCACATCAGGATACACAATGGGGGATTTATCCCTCAACGCTGTCTACAGGTGAGGCGCAAACTGTGGTTACTGTGTAAAAAGCAGCCACTTTTTTTCTTAGAACAAATTGCGAGTGCATTGCATTGCTGCCAAACAAAATATTTTAGGCAAGATTGATTTCCCAACTTCCAGACAACAGATTTATTATGAATATTAATTATTAATTATTAATATTATTAATATATTAGTGAGGACATTGCTGCAGTCCACTAACCAACATATTAGTCTACAACTGGGGTCAGATATACATTTTTTATTTTATTTTAATTTGATTTTATTTATTTTTATTTTATTTTATTTTATTTTATTTTATTTTATTTTAATTTGATTTTATTTTAATTTAATTTAATTTTATTTATTTATGTATTTATTCATCTATCTTTTTTTATTTAATCAACTCTTATCATAGATTTACAGTCTGGTGTTAAGGAAATTTCTTTTGGGACCTGCTTTGTTAGCTGGCTGGTGTAGCTTCATGTTTTTGCACGTGTTTGAGGACAGGGTCACTACAGTATGTTTAGTGTAGTATTCCTGCCATATCAGACCTGCTGTAGGAAATGCTTCTGGCCTTTGACACGGTTGGGTCTATACTGACACTTCATTGTCATTAAACCATGAAACAAACACGACCAATGACCTCAATTCAGGTTGTTGGCTGTCATACCAAGCACTACAAGTGAAGTGACGTCATAGTCGCCTATAAGGTAACATTGTTTTGTGCTTTATCTTGTTTTTTTATACTTGCAGACATATAAAATGTTTCCTACAGGCCAGTCTCCTCCAGAGCAGCACCCTAACCGACAACCTGCCCTGTATTACACTGAATGCATCACTGCTGCCAGCAAGATGGGAGAAGTCTCATGTCTGATAGCAACTGTGTAAAGGTAAGCCTGCAGTATTTTTGGTTTGCCCAAACTGGTTCATTCAAGGGCACTGGTGATCAAAGGCATGCTGTACATCCTGTATCTCCTGCCTGTGTTAACACAGGCTCTTGTATGTTTTTTCAAATCAAAAATAGCTTAGAGTGACAGTGTTTGATGTGGAAAGTGATCCATCATTGCAGAAATGAAGCGACCTGGCAGAGCGTTCAAGAGTGCACAAACAAAAAGGGATACCTGAGCTATAATTAGACCACAGCTGATATGAAGGTAGTGAGTTCAGTTAGGATGCATGAACTGCCATAAGGTCGTTTGTTAAATGGCAGGAAGTGCTTTTATTTTCTCTCGGGCAAGGTGCCTAAGAAGATCAGGTCAAAGGGATCAAAAAGATACAAGTGGCACAACATGATTCTTAATGTGTGTGTGTGTGTGTGTGTGTGTGTGTGTGTGTGTGTGTGTTTCTACGTTGATTTTTTAATCAGAAGAGAATTAGAATTAGTGGTATACTGTTGGTTCCCACCAGATTAAGATGATTAAGAGGAATTTAATTGATTTTAGCAATTCAAAATCAGTTAAACGTCGCACACATCTGTGCTGGAGGCTCTGCTATTGGAAAGCTTTGCCACCTGTCAGTGGCAAAAAGGTGAACATTCCCTTTCACAAACTTTTCTTTCAAAACTAAACGTTAAAATTAATGTCACAGAGATGAAGACTGTATATTTTTGTAAGTGTAAAGGTTGTCAAGGCTATCTTTTTACAGCTGTTAACCTTAATCCTGGCTCAGAAATATGGGACATAGAAATCCCTTTTACTCTGTCTATTTATTGTTCGTATTAAATCTAATTCAACATTTAAAAAATACAGTTCCAAATATTAAAAGTTTGCTGTATATCATGAGTTTATAAAAGTTGTAAAAGCTGTCGGCTACTGAAATTTGTCTGCTCAAAATCAAATTGAGTGAATCCAGACTCCCTCCCAGAAGAATAATCCTCTGTAATTCATAGAGCAAAGTGTTTGGGCATGCATACAGAATCAGATATTGTATTATGCATATTGGATTTTAACTATTATATCTCAATGTTCTAATGCATCTAAAAGTTTTTTTTTCTTTTTAATGAGTGACTACTTCATCCTGTATTCTGCGATAGTTCAATATAACTGTCAGCTTCTACATCTAATGGCATTTCAATTGAATTAGGATGCATTAAACTAAATCTTAGGTATTTTTTAATACGGCTCATATTGATCTTTATAAGCTTTACAAGGTGCAGTTTGTGGTTGATTCGATGTGACTGACTCACTTACATCAGTCACTTGAAATTGTACCACAGGTATGGTGTTTCTCAGAGTGGTATCGTATTCGAGCTACTTTTATTTCTTATTGTAAAAGCGGCTCGAACAAAAAAGAAATATGTTGCTGATATTTTTAAAACCAGGCTGAGCATTACCTCTTTTATGCTTTTACTTAACCCTTTCACCCTGTCCTCAGAGAGCTCATTATAACCATTACTTTACCTTTTATAGTCTCAGTCACTGTCACTAAAGCTCTGCGAGAGCTTTGTAAGCTTAAACATGTTGTGGTTGCCTTTACAGAATCTCCTCCCCAGAGTGTCTGCTAAGCTGGACGTGGCTACTATTTCAGACATCAGTGAGGTCAAATCCCAAGTCACTTTTGTCAGGAGCGTGCGTGCTGGTGAGCCTCTTGTGATAAATGCAGTAAGCCATGTAAACAATGAAAATGTAAAGAGCACTGAGGAAAGGCACACCGACCAAGCTGATGCTGTTTGCTTGAGGGTTCTTTGTAGCAAATTTGCATCTCTGTCTTTGCTGCTCTCCCCTCAAGGATAAGTTAGAAACCAATATTATGATAACTCAGATTAATTCTGTAGAAGCATGCGTTAAGTGTGGGGCACTTAATCATTCAAACCTTTGGCAAAGTTTTGATCACAATGTTGTGCCTTATTTATGAACGCTGTATAGCAGCCTGCAGAGAGGAATAAAATATTGAATGTAGACTAAATTATCACATGCGCTCATTGTTCTGCTGATGCCGCAGGTCAGGGGTTAAGTTTACGAGTGTTTCATGTGTGTGTATTCAATACAGAGTGACAGGAAACGTCACGTGCAGCGTTATTGTTTGTGACCTGTTAATGACGGCGAGATCAAGCCCAGCCATCCTAGCTGTCACTCCAGCATAAAAGCCTCCCT